CTTTATTTCCTGGTTCACTGCATATTGTTATGATGTGGAATACCAATAACAAACAGCAAGACCTAATTCATAAGTTCCTCAGTGCCTTCTCTTCTCCAGGCTGGACAACACCAGCTCCACTCTTCTGTGTTGGAAAGTTGTCATTGAAGCACTCCAGAAAACTTCTGTATTGCTTGTGCTGTAAAGTCCCTCCAGCTGATACTGGGGTTGTTCTAGTACCCCATGAGGACAAAGGCTTATGACTTTGTCTGGTTTTCTGAAGAAGTCTTAACCTCCTACTTTCTCCAGGTAATTTGTATCACAACATCAATAACTTTGTTTAGATAACAATATTAATGCAGATAATTCTTTTGTAGTATGGAAACATTTTACGCGTTTTTAGAAAAACAATCATTCTAATCATCTAGATATTAATAAAGAAAAATTGAATAATGGTATAAGGGGTAGTACAAGCAGGTAAGAGGCCCTGAATAAGCTGTCTAATTTGAGTGTAATTTTTTTTTTTTTACTGTATGTTATTATAATATAATCTTAGGATATCCTAGCTACATTGTTGATATTAATATTTTAAAAGAAAACTTTCCAGGGCAAGGAACATTCCTTCCTTTGTGTTTTGTATGATAAGTAGATTGTTGCTGTGAAGTATGAATAACTGCTTAGTGGCCTCAGCAAAAATTACTGAATTTGTAGAATAACTTTGTGTAAACTCTACGTGTCCTTCAATTTTTTTCTCACTTAAATATTCTATGTATGCAAGATACTCTACAGAGGTCAATGCAAACGCATATGCAGTGCTTAAATAGTGACACAATAGAAGATAAAGGCAAGGAACTAGGGTAAGAACAGTAAATTTAATGGAAAAAGGTAAGCTATATGACACAGGACACTAGAACTAGGACGATCAAATACTATACTAGGAACATAAGATGATTTGATAGGTGAGATGTGGTTAATGAGGCTAGACTTTATAATTGCAAAACTAAAATACTAGGACAGCGCAATGGGTAAGGAACTAGGGCAACACTGATTGAGATGTCTTAGTGGAAAGGCTTATAATTCTTCACTGTGGCACTAATAATCCTTGATAGATATTGCATCAGGATTCATTGAGATTAGAAAACTTTCTCTTTAGTTACTTGGTTTGTGTGGCTTTTATTTCACTCTCTGGAACAGTGGTACTCTGTCAAACCAGGAGCACAAGTGAAGACAAGTTGGTGCAGGCAGGGCAGCTCAGCTGCAGCCAGTAAGGTAGGTTTGGAGCTCCCTGGCAGTGTAGTGAAGTGCCCCAAAGCTTTTCAGTGCTGTTGGCTTCCTCAGAGCATATGATTCAGAGCCACCCAGCAGAAATGAGCTGGGTTAGCACAATGATGGTATGTGCTGATGAATTTTTTTCTATATCAATATTCAAAACAAGCCTCTCTGAGGACAGATCATGAAGGTGGATATTATTGCAAATGAAATTGTATGAGTGACATCCTATTGCTGCAAAAGGCAATGCTAAATAACTATCTTCTTATCTCTAACAACAATGAAGAGCATATGTTACTGTGCAATTAACAACTTGGTTCTGAAAAACCACAGGTGAGATTGCTGAGGTTTTTCATACAACTCAAGGAAAACAATTTTCTTAGATTTATAAAATTTTGTGGGATTAAAGCCCAACAGTTTATTGTGTGTTAAATTGGTAGAACAGAGCATTCAGTTTTATACTTATGCATTAATCTCCATTGCAGAAGTATAGGAGAACTGTGTGCCTGGAAAAGCAAAAGCTTTGTAAATACTGTGGTACCATGCATTGATGTGAAAAGCCTCATGTGAGTTGATTAGGGATCTAGTTAAACACAGAGGGATCTATTTTGGTGTACGTGAATATCAAAAATATTGAAAGTATAGCTTGGAAAAAAAGCCTGAAGTTAAGACAGCATTTTCCAACCACCTAAGCTGGCTGCAAAAATGAATTCTTAAGACTTTGTTTCCAAAAACACTGAGCATACTATTACGATGGACTCTTGCTTTATCTTGGCTCTTTGATCTTTTGTGTTTTTCCAACATCAGAACATGACAGAAATAAAATGGAAATTTAAAGTTGAAGGTAGAAGAATAGAATAGAACTTCAAACCAAATCTCTTAGTTTTGGGTAATGACATAAATCTGGTGTTTTTCATGCTGTCAGTCTTCAATTCCCTTTCCTATGCTGTATCATTCTAATTATAAAATTACAGAAGATTTTTAAAGAAATTGTGAGTTCTGGGGCTGGGACACATTTTGTTACACAGTGATGAAAATGGAGATCTGAAGAAGTGGATCACAAAAGGAAGCGCTGCTTCTGGTAGAAATTAAAAAGAGATATTATTAGACATGAGGAATTTCAGTAGGAAATGATAAAAACCAACATAATGATTCATGTTATTCTATGCTTATTTGGAAATAAATGGTAGTGATTATGCAAGTCCTTTATTTCTGTTTTGATAATATTTTTTGATGAAAGTATAGGGAATTATGTAATTTAGAAACAGTGCTCGGTTGTGATTTAGATATGGTGTCACGTCCCTCCATGCTGCCTGGTCTGGGAATTGTCAGTCAATTTAGGTCTTGGTGAGCATGAAGCACAAGAACATTCCAGTATGTAATTTTGTAATACAGACAGTGTTTCACAGCAGTCTCTCAAACTTAGTCTCATGCCCAGAGCAGATGGACATGAATGTGGCCAGCTCATTTGTCTTGGCACTGCTGACCAGTTAACAAGTTTTAGCCACACGTTTGTCCATCACCAATTAGGGATACTCATAAAGTCATCAGATTCTAGTTCACTAGGAGCATGTATTGTAGAAGGTTAAAGTCTGAGCAGCACAGTTTGCCTCTGGTTGTTTGAGCACTGTACCATTCTTGAATTTTAGAGACTGTGGCTGTGTGTAGAAAGGCAGAGGGTGCATGTTAATATAGTTATAAATAATATAGATACCTCTCAGATACCTCATGTACATGGAGTAAGGGCTGAACATTTCTTAAATGCAGGAAATGGATGCGTTTTTTCTGTGCTTTCTCTGGCAAATAATAATTTCTCTGTCTGATTTCTAATCTAGGCCTCACACAATGATGGGAAAGGTTTGTTGTGGTAACTATACAGGGCAAAATGTTCTAATGTAGATTCAGCTTTATCAACAAAGAGAGGTTGCTTGTACCAATTCCCCAAAGGAAACAACAGTTGGAACTTACCTCCTATCTGTGCTTTTGTTTCTAGAATTAAACTTAAATTTTTATGAATCTATTTATTTATTTTGCATAGAAATGAGCACAGAATAACACAGCTTTAATTAATAATCTATACTGACATTATAGTTTTGCCTTAGAGGGAAGTACCTCTTTACCCTCCCACCTTCACTTCAGCTGAATTTTGTACAATGGTAAAGACAGCTTCCACCGTGTTCTTGATTTATTTATTTATTCATTCATTTATTTTGTGATGTGTTGACTTTTCTCATTTTAGCTTTCAGGGAAGAGAAAAGACATTAGGTCTATATAGGAACAAGAACAGGAAGAAGTCACCACTGCCTTATTCTATTCTACCAGTTCTAACATTTTCTTTTTTTTTTCTGATGCTTTTGTTAGCTATGGTCAGGAGGAGGAACAAGATTATTTCAATGTCTGTGGAGCAGGAGAGCTGAGAGCTGACATACTTAGGGACAGAAATATTTCAGAACGACAACAAAAAAGAGGCTTAAAGGTACTTACTTTAGCCTCGCTAACTTTTCAATAAGTAACTGTTTGGCCTTTTGTTATGGAATTTCTATTACCCTAGCATATAGCTATTGCCTTCAAATGAATTGTTTATTTATCTTTCAAATAATGTTTACTATATCACTTCTAGGATCTTACAGTAAGGGCATAGCTAGAGAAAGTAGGACTCCATCTAGAAAAATCAGGACAGTGTGTTTGCATGTCCTTTAAGATCAAGCGGATTAATCTCTTGAATTTGCTCTTACCCTCTATGTAAATATGTAAAAACAGGCTGGATTATTAGGTTTACCTTGTGCAGTCATTCTGGTGACACTGACCTATGCATCAGCCTCCTAGAGTACTATAAAAGATAAGATTAGTAAGGAAATAAAGTTTGAGGGTCAGAGCTTTGGTAAACAGCTGAAGTTGAAGAAAGTTAATACAGACACATCAAATAGCTGTTTAAGTTTCAGACCTTGGATTTGTAACACAAGTAGACGCAGAGGAAGAAACAAGTAAGGCAACGTGCCCCTAATTTGGAAATCATAGTGAATGAGAGGTTTCATGAGACTTCTCCCAAACTTTCTAACTACTGCTATATTGAGAACATGGCATGTCCTTAAGACAGAATTCTGCCTGTGGGCTTTTTGTCACACTGATGCTACTTTTACCTCATGTTTTACTTTTACCTGGCTTGGGCAGGGTGCTTGCTCACATTTACAGCCTTTTCTGAGAGATTACACTAAAATCACTGCATGCTTACTCGCTCCCTAGGGGAGAAAGCAGGTGGGCTTGCAGGCCTTTGCCCATGCAGAACCTCTTGCAGTAACAGGTGACACAGGGCTAATGCCTGTGATTGCCCATTCTGCAACAGCAAGAAGAGATGTAGTTGCAGCTCTGGAAGTGAGAGGAGGTATAGGATTTAGGAGAGATGAAATGCAGTTTGGTATCCTCTCCGGGCTCTACTTAGCAGTTGCTATGCTTCATTGTTCACTCTAGGATTCCTACCTTCTGCGAATTGGTTTTCTCTTGAGCATCTGAAGATTGCACTTTACCTGTTTTGTAGGTTTAACTTTAAGACTATAGTGAATATACAGATTTCTAAGGACTGCGTGGATTTTGAACTTTGAGCTTCTTTTTGAAGCTCAGAAGCGCGTGTAGAATGAACTCTTATTGCTGGCAACTATCTTCAGCAATTCCTACAGATATGAAAGGACTTGAGGATCACAGGGGGAAAAGAGGAAAGAAATTCAGTCTTTCTTTCAGAGCTGTGCATCTTTAATTCCCTTTGATCTTTTTGCTCAGTATTTGATTAAATGTTTGGATGTAGGCTGAACTACCTAATCAGAGGCAGTTCATAATAACTCTGTATTACTGCTATGTGGTTCAATTTTCCTCTGTAATCTTGCAGACCAGGATCTAAGGACTTGGAGTTGGTTTCATTCATAAATGAGAGGACATATAAGGTCAGTTTCATGCCGCTTTTAAGATTTTCAGAGGCAATTCTATAAGCACAACATATTCTGTATCTGTTTGCTGAAGCAAATTGACAGTGTAAAAATAATGTTTTGTTAATATTCACAGTGGTGGCTACAGAGGGAGAGTACTTCATACTTGTTAGCCAAGACTAATGTCGACGGAGCATTTCAGATACGTAAGTACTTTAACCACAGCCTCAGACCCAGGTAGCCTTGATCTGAACAGCTCTCTAATGTCAGGATTTTTTTAATCCTGCTGTGACTTTCACAATGATTTTCTTTTTCATAATGAGTCAGACACTCATTCTAAAGATAGTTCCAGATGTAACTTCCTATCTTGCAGCTACTTCTCTAGATTTAAAATCTATTTCTGATAACTGAGATTTAGGCTACACTTGTGCTGCTGAATTAAACAATGGTAAAACATTCACAGACAGAAAGTTCCCTGGCACCGTTTTTTTGCCCATGATAGCATTTTCTGAATCATTGTCCAGGTACAGTGAGGGGCTTAGAACAAGCCAGGGACTATGCTTGTTGTGGCAGTTTGGATGACCTTTGTTTTGGAGGCTAAGCGAACTTAATTGTGGAGACATGGCTGTGTTGTACCAGCTGTTCTTAGGGATAGAAAATGTGTCCTGGTGTGTTTCCTTTACTAGTATGGATATAGCCTTCAGGTTTTTGTCTTTGGTCTTGTTAGGAAATGTTTTCCTTCAGATATGAGGCAAAAAGATAAATCAGTTATCTATTCATTTATGACTTGGAACTAAGTAGAAGCCAGTGATCTCACGGAATTTTCAACATAAAAACAGGAAGAGCTGGTGTATCTAACATTATCCTTTGTCTGGATAGTATTTGAAAGGTGAACCACTTTTCTCAAATCACAGTAATGTTGCTGTTTGGCTTTCTGCATTTAAGGGTGATTTGCCATATTACAAGCACGACATGCCAACAAAATTTACTTCATTCTCTTTTGGTCAGTTTTGTGCTAATTATTTGTTGTCTTCTTTGAAAATTTAATTCCAAAATGAAGATAATTTTTCTGATTGCTCTCCTGAGAAAACTTTCTTAATGCCCAATACCTACTGATGTTAAGCTAGAGTTGAAAGTCATTTATTCTTCTCATAAAAAAGAAAATACTGATGAGATATTTGTATTTGCACCTCTAAGGTATCACAGGGACAAGCAGAAAATCATACCATATGAAGTGCTAAATTGAAATTATCAAATTTAAATTCACCTTTCCTTTTTAACTAAAAATTGTGGTTATTTTTATACTTTGTAGAGCTATATTCGTCTCACTGGTGTGAGGGAAGCACAGGCCCATGTCCTGAGAGGCACTGGAGGAGTTTGTCCTTACTGCTTGAAAATAGTGAAGGACACTCCAGGGATGGTGCTTTGGCCTCATGGTGCTCATTCCATGGTGGAAGGAAAGCTGTGGCAAGCTGATGTGTATCCAAGGTGCAGTTCCTATCTAGAGGAATCTCTTATGATCAGATTACAGGGTGTCTTTATCTTCATCTGCAACACTCAGTCTGAAACTTTAGGGCATATATACTAGTGAGTGGAAGGGAAAAATGGCATGTAATTACCAGAAAAGCTTTGGGTCACATAGCCCATTGCTTTATCAGTGTGATTATAGCTCTTGAACATCAGTCTTGATCAGACTGACTGGCTCAAATAATAAGGCTTCTACCCTTTCTATCTGGGGTGTTTTCCATTGTCAGAAGAATTTTCTTGGTAACTTCCATTTGATATGTATTTAGACTTTTTTTAATATTAGCCTAATTTTTTAAAACTCTTTTTATCCCACACCCTTCAAAGGAGAGGCATCAGTCTCATCTTAAAACCAGTCACATCTTAAATGTGGACTCAGTAGAAGATCTGAATTTCACATTTTGTTTCATCACATAGCTTGATATATCATACGTAGCTATTCATCATCTTGTAATCTTTTCCAGTTCCCTATTATGTACCGTTAAAAGGTAGATCACGTGGGGTGTTGGACCAGTTGAAACAAGCCTAGTGATATTTTAATTCAGCTTTATTTATGGGGGAACTAAACACATCGGTTTAAATCATGAAGTTAATGGGAGTAGTTACAGTTTTCAAATTGGGATTGCACACACTGACATTTTCTTTCTTCTTCAAAGCACCCGCTTCTGAATGGCAAAGATAATAATAGGTTAATCCCTTTTCAACTGGCAAGATAAACAGGATATTATCAGAGAAATGATCAATTTAATCAAATATGTGAGTTTGTAGTGGAAATACAGAGATATACACTACAGTTTAACCGACAGCCTGCATTGGTATCAAGGCAGCACTGTATTGAGCAGCACCAATCCCATTGCAGAGCTTAGAGCTTCAGTTTGATCAGTGATCTGGTGACTGAGAATGGGGCAGGAACAATTAAAGCTCTTGACACTTATTATAATATTATATAATACTCTTCATTGTATTTGAGAAGTTGTAGTTGTCAGGTGAGAACCTGGGTAACTTGAAAAAGGGTCATGTCACTCCCATTTATAAGAAAGGGAGAAAGGGGGACCTGGGGAACTACAGGCCACTGAGTCTCACCTATGTGCCTGGGAAGATCCTGGAGCAGATCCTCCTGGATGACGTGCTTGATCACATGAGGAATGAGCGTGTGATCTGAGACAGCCAGCTTCACCAGGGGAAGATCATGCTTAACCAATCTGGTGGCCTTCTATGATGGAGTGATAGCATTGGTGGACAAAGGGAAGGTGACTGATGTCATTTACCTGGACTTGTGCAAGGCCTTTTACATTATCCCCCGCCACATCCCTATCTCCAAATTGGAGAGATGTGGATTTGATGGGTGGATCACCTGATAAATAAGGAATTGATTGAAAGGCTGCAGACAAAGGGTGGTTCCATGGTTCTATGCCCAGGTGGAGGCAGGTAATGAGCAGCGTCCCCAGGGGACTGTCTTGGAACTGGTGATCTTGAGCATCTTTATCAATGACATCAGTAATGGAATTGAGTGCACCCTCAGCAAGTTTGGTGATGACACCAAGCTGAAAGGTGCAGTTGACACAATGGAAGGAAGAGATGCTATTCAGAGGGATCTCAACAGACTTAAAAGGTGGGTCTGGGTGAATCTAAAGAGGTTCAACATAGCTAAGTACAAAGTTTTGCACTTGGGCCAGAGGAATCCCAGGTGTATATACAGACTGGAAGGAGAAATCCTTGAGAGTTGCCCTGCAGAGAAGGACCTGGGGGGTCCTGGTGGATGAAAAACTTAACATGAGTCTGCAACGTGCTTTTGCAGCTCAGAAAGCAAATGGTATCCTGGGCTCTGTCAGAAGAGGGGTGGCTAGCAGGGACAGGGAGGTGATTGTACCTCTCTACTCTGCCCTTGTGACGCCCTATCTGGAGCACTGCATCCGAGGTCTGGGGCCCCCAGTACAAGAAAGAGAGCTGTTGGAGTGGGTCTAGAGGAAAGCCATGAAGATGATCGGGGTTGGAGCACCTCATCTATGGAGACAGGCTGAGGGAGCTGGGCTTATTTAGCCTGGAGCAAAGAAGGTTGTGGGGTGACTTCATTGCAGCCTTTCAGTACCTAAAGGGAGCCTAGTAACAGGAGGGAGCTTTTTACAAGGATGGATAACGGCAGGGCAAGGGGAAATGGTTTTAAGTTGAAGGAGGGAAGGTTTAGGTTGAATATTATGGGGGAAGTTCTTTACAGAGAGAGTGGTGAGGTACTGGAACAGGCTGCCCAGAGAGCTTGTGGATGTCCTGTCCCTGCAGGTGTTCAAGGCCAGGTTGCATGGGACCCTGGGCAGCCTGGTCTAGTATTAGATATGGAGATTGGTGGCCCTGCATGTGGCAGTGGGGTTGAAGCTTCATGATCCTTGAAGTTCCTTCCAATCCAAGCCATTCTATTATAATGAGAAATAGTAAGGATATCTAAGGGTTATACTGAGTTTGCTCAATCTATCTGATAGTACTTGCAGCCTCCCTGTGCAAGTTTATGGGGTTGCTCCATGTTGAACCATGTGTTGATAAAAAAAAAATATGACACTGAGCTAAGGATGTGTGTGTGTGTGTGTGTGTGTGTGTATGCGTGCATATATTAAAATCTAATGGATGTTATAAAGCATTCTTGTATGAAATATTAAATTCACAATAAGAAAAAGTGCTAGTGGATGCCAAGTCTCTGAGTTTTGGCATATGTGGTGTGCTCATCTCTTTCTCTTTTTTGTATATTCACATATGTAGTTCACATGCTTAGAAATGATTGATTTGCCACTTAGATGTGGTTGTGATTTCAGCGTTAGTTATCTTTCTGTTTTTCTTCTGTGTCTTGAAAATGTTTACTAGATTTATTTATTTATTTAAATCGGAGAGTGGCTTTTGCACTCAAGTTGTGCCAAGGTAAAAAGCTAACCCAAACCAGACCCATTGCTTCCATCTCCAGAATGAGTGTGTGATGTTACTGTTGTACCTCAGTTCCTCACTCCCTATATTTTCAACTAGTTTTCAAGAACTTTCCTCAGTTCCAAAACCCTGTGATTTTTGTCCAATGTCCTACTTAATGCAGATCCTTTACCATTTAGCAGTAGAGAAAAATCAGTATGGAAAGGGTCTTGGAAACAGCTATGTGAATGTTTTCCCTAATTAATCTCATGCTTCTTGTGAGTGAAGCTGTGTTAACTTTCCTAAAAGAAGTGGAGCAGAACCTACTGAAAACTCCTGAGAAAGGATGCCTGCCAGGGGTGCCATTGCCTGACCAACCTTTTCAGGACTCTGAAAGGCTCTTTGTCCTTTCTGTATTTGCCCTCCCACTATTTTTAAATATTGCCTCACTCAGTTTCTCCATGTGCTGACCCCTGTGCTAAACTGGCTTAGGTAATTCCTGCACTATAAGAAGCTGTATGAAAGAGACTTCTCCTTTTTGCACTAGGTTCTGCTACCTGTATAAGATCCCTGCACAACCCAGGTGTCTAACAGTGTGAGGCTGACAGCTCCAAATTGTATGGGTAGTGATTAATACATCTCTTTCCCCAGCGTTGCTTCTGATTGAGCTGTCTCCCAGTGCAGAAGCTCTTAGTAGGTTATAGATCAAGGTTAGATGTTTGGGAAAGTGTCCAAGCTGAGGCATGCAACACTGACTTCAGTGCAAGATGCACATACTGTTTTCAAGAAAGCTTCC